TGTTCCAACTGATACATATAGGAATACCGTATACGAGGTTGACTCCAAAACACAGAAGAAATTTATGTCTGAAATTGCTTAATGTAATGAAGAAAATTGTGTAAAAGACTAATTCTGAATTTTCTTTTTCATGATGAATGTTACAGTATTGGGAATATTGGTTTTGTCTGGCGTTGTACTGCTTCCAGTTCTTCTACCCATTGCTGCTACAGATGATGGTGTAAAGAAGAACGCACATAGTACTACAAGCAACGGGAGTGACCAAGACAAGTTGTCAATGGAAAATATTCAAGTAAGCTATATATAACATTCTTGTCAACGGGATACGTTTATTGTTTTCTCCGACCAAGTACTATTACCGTGTCATGAATGTGTTTTGATATACAAAAGTCTGTTTATCGTTGTCTATACAGGAGAGGAGTCCAAGGCTGTGGGCATTCCTGGTAGCCACCTATTGGGTCTCCGTTGTCACTTATTTCCTTTCATGGAAGGCTTACAAACATGTTTCTGCTCCAAGAGCTACTGCTCTAAAGTCAGATGAAGTGAAACCCGAGCAATTCGCGGTTCTCGTTAGAGACTTGCCGGATGTCGCTCCGGGTCAAACTCGAAAGCAACAGGTCGATTCGTATTTCAAATCTTTATATTCCCAGACATTCTACAGATCAATGGTGGTCACGAACAACAAAAAGGTATGATAATTTGAATCTCCTTCGAGTCTAACCTGTTCAATTTTAAACAAACATTTTGTTGACATGTAGGTTGACAAAATCTGGGGGAGTTAGAAGGGTTCAAGAAGAAGCTTCTGCGGGCAGAAGCAATATATGAAGAGCCTGAGAGAAAAGGTCAAGGCACGAAACCGACCCACAAAACCGGCCTCCTTGGTCTATGTGGCAAAAAAGTATACAGCATAGAGTATTACAATGAAAAGATTAAGGAATTGACACAAAAATTGGAAGCGGAGCAAAAGTTAACCCTCCGCGAAAAGCAGCAAGGATCTGCTTTGGTTTTCTTTACCAGTAGGGTGACTGCAGCCTTGGCTGCTCAAGCCTACATGCTCAGATGGTTGACAACTGGACTGTTACGGAAGCACCCGAACCTCGTCAACTTATATGGAGCAATCTGACCATCAAGTTTTATGAGAGGATAATACGACAATATGCTATTTATTTTGTTGTGTTTCTGACTATAATTTTTTATATGATTCCCATGACGTTCATTTCCGCATTCACAACTCTTGAGAATCTGAGAAAACTTCCGCCATTCTTGAAGCCCGTTGTTGATGTGGTTGCACTTAAGACAGTGTTGGAGGCATATCTTCCCCAGCTTGCGCTCATCATATTTTTGGCCTTATTACCGAAGCTTCTATTGTTCCTCTCTAAGACCGAAGGAATCCCTACGGGGAGCCATATATGTCATAAGGGCTTCATCTGGGAAATACTTTTATTTCATCGTGTTTAATGTTTTCATTGGTGGAACTTTGTTCAGTGCACTTAAGACCATTGAAAAGAAACCTAACTCCATTTTCGAGATACTGGCAAAGAGCCTCCCTAGGAATGCAACTTTCTTCATTACTTTTGTGGCTCTGAAGTAAGCCTTCAACCTTTTTCTCATTGCAATTGCTTTAAAATGTGTTTTATTTTTTTGGTTTCATTGGGTTATTGATTGGCAGGTTCTTTGTTGGTTATGGGCTCGAGCTTTCTCGAATAGAGCCGCTTATCATATATCATGTGAAGAGGAAATACCTTTGCAAGAGCAAAGCCGAGTTAAAAGAAGCATGGTTCCCCGGAGATATTAGCTATGCCACTAGAGTTCCTACTGACATGCTTATTGTCACCATTGTTCTCTGCTACTCGGTTATAGCTCCTGTGATCATTCCATTTGGAGCGCTTTACTTTTCCTTGAGTTGGCTTGTTCTCCTGAATCAAGTAATTCTTTCATTTTCCTAGATTCCCTTTCCATTTCTGCTTTATAGTTATCATTCTTACAAGTCAAACTTAGTTTCATTTTACTTATCTGTTTTATGTTGTTCTTGTAACAGGCACTCAAAGTTTATGTCCCAGCATATGAGAGCTATGGAAGAATGTGGCCTCACATGCATACCCGAATCCTCGGTTCCCAGTCGTTATACCAAGCTACCATGTTGGGTTACTTTGGGATGTCGAAATTCTATTATACTCCCATTCTGATTCCGCTACCAATATTGTCTCTCGTCTTCTTCTTAATCTGTAGGAAGAAATTCTATGGGGCTTTTTGTCACACTGCTCTTGAGGTCACTAACCAAGAATCGAAAGAAACTCCTCACATGGACCAGATATTCAAATCCTTTATCCCACCAAGCTTGAACTCTGAGAAACTAGAAGACGAGCAATTCGAAGATGCTTTATCTCAAGTTTCAACATCAGAATCATTTGTTTGATGTACATTGTTATTGTGCTTGTGTCTTTCTTCTGAGTAACCATGTTTTCTTGAATCACAAGTCTCTGAACTTGTATTTGTTTGTTGATAATATGGCTTTAGGGAACCTTGATGTCTGATCATTTGTTTCTGTAAACATAATCACTTCCTTTGGATCTTCAGCTTGAACATCTTCGATTAGTTCTTCCATGATTTGTTCCGATGCATTCAACTTGTTGTACCTTGTGAACTCGCCCTTGTAACTGTAGATGCTGAGGAACCCACGTTGGACCTTGATATTGGTTTTCCCAAGTGGCTGCAGACTTGTTCTGAGGTCACTGTACCACTCGGTTGGAGCCACTGTACCCCGCCATGCCACGAGGATATCTCTCCTCCCAATTCTTGCAGTTTCAGCATCACCGCTGACCTCATCGTATCCCATCCAGTTGGAATTTTTGCTCCAAGAGCAGTAAGTCCTTTCTAACCATTTGGGAACATCGACACGGGACATGGCATAAATGTACTTGGTAACCTTGTAACCATGTTTGGTAAGGCCTAATTCTTCAAACAGTTTGTGCCGATTGTACCTACAGCTTCAACAAAACTCAGATAAAGAATCAAAGTCGAAAGCATCATAAGTTGCTTCGACAAACTCGTAGTACTTGACAACTTCTTGCCTAAGCCAAGGATGGAGAGGCTCAATAAGGCCATCCCAATTGTGCAAACCATGAAGCTCACGCCATTGAGTGGATATATTCTCGATTGGGGACTTGGATGGAGTCATTGCATCACCGTGGTCTATGAAGTCAGCTGCGGTGAGCGGCAATTGAATGAGTTGGGCTAATGGCACGGTGGGACGAAAGGTCTTCTTCTTCTTCTTCTTCTTCTTCATTACGTGTCAAATAGGCCTAATGATAGCCGTATCATGATGATTAAGTTTCATAGTAGAGAGCTTGTTGAGGTTGGATGCAAGATGAAGATGAAGGCAGTGCCTGAGAGTGGATTTCAAGGCCTTCTTGATCCGTTGCCTACTTACATTAACCTTCAATCTCCATACCCTTTTGGTCCTTGGCTTTTCTGTTTTCTGCCTCTTGACATTTCTCATCGGAGACAATTGCATTTTCTCCATGGAAGGGCAATATTCCAAAGAAAACTTACAAATAAATGAAACACAATGTATCACTCGGTGGCGGCGGAGAGCAAAAGGCAAGAACAGAAGAAGAAAGGTAGATGAGAATGAAAAGAGAGAAATTGTATGATAGATGTAAATTGAGATGACATGGAACTGAAAGGGTATATTATTTATATATATGGAATGTTAATAAGAGAAGCAAGGTTTTTCCAAGTACATGGTAGGAATAAACAGCAACACTTTGGGTTTCTAGGAATCTCCTAAGGTCTAAGTTGCCATCAGCCATCGGCATCTGGATGGTCAATATTCACAATTATGTTTTCGTTTGTTCCTCATAAGTCAATTGGAGACTGAATTAAATAATTTAACTTATAGTAGAAGTGTAATTTAATTCTTTCAACTTATATATAAATTACATCGTATTTACTTGTATCATTAAACATTAGAGCTACGATTGCTAACACTTGAAGGATAAGAACAAGTGAATAAGATAAACGCAATATAAAATAGTATGTGGGGGCAATGGCAGCTTAGCCAACATGATTTACCAAATTGTCTTCAGTGTGGGTTGGCAGGGTCAATGCTTAAAAAACACGTGTGTGGCGTCCCTTCGTAATTGGCCATATTCATAAGTCCCGAATATGATGAGTTCTTGGGGGACCTGACCTCCACATTTTAAGCAGTCTCAACTGACCAACTTTTGTTGAACCAAACTGACCATCCTCATATAACGGTTAGAATTCCTTTCATATAATAGATAAGTTTAATTGGATTATTTCTATATGGCTTGATTGAAAGAGTATTTAATGTTAGAGGACCAAATAGAAAATGGAAAAGGCTTACAAGTTAAATGATTTGTCTTCGGTTTGGGATTTTCCTGTGGGACAAGACAACTGGTCTGTCTGGAACCGTGGGAAATTGATGATTTAGAATCTATCGTTCACGCCTTCCAACCATTCTCGTTAGTTAAAATCTTTTTTTTAACATTTCATGGACCAAATGCTCATATACTCCAAAACCACTTCAGCAGCTGTTACTGTTAGGAATAAGGATATTTCAGTTTTCCTGTCATCTTAATTGGACTGCATAATACATTCAATAACACTAACAACTCTTTTATTCAGGTTAACCACATGATCATCTATGTTTGTGTTTTATATATTTTTACCTTAATGATTTCATAAAGCATAATCTATAATTATTTTTATTTAATCAAAATATAATCACTACAAGTTAACTACCATTAAAAGTTAATGTGACATCATTAGATTGAAAGATTAAATTTATTTTTATTTATTAAAAGTAAACTAAATAAAAGAATATATAAATAATAGAGATCAAATGTATAATTATATCAAAATATTTAACAATATTCAACTCATGATAACAATATCTTAATTAAATAAAAATTAAAACGATCATATATTATGTTTTTTTAATCAGCAAGAAAAAAATAACAAAATGCAAACATGAATGAAAAGCCCCTTTTTATTTTGAAACTCAACTTACAATCTAAAGCTGCCCGTTCTCAGTTACTTCTTACATTCCTCATTTGAACTTGATTGATAGCTGCAGACTAGTAGATAATATTATTCAATTCATTAGGATTCCAGCTTGTGTTGAGATTGTAACCCAGTATGAGTTTAAAGAAACCATAGTAGTACCAGAAAACTAAATGCATTTGACTGAAATGAACGTCTCAAAAACAAAAGTTACATAAAAGACACTTCTAAATAGCCTCCAATAAGAAGATAAGCTATTCCACTTCAGCCAAATAATCATCAATTTCAGCTGGGGTAAGTACCCTGCAACGTAGCAAACACCATAAGCCATCATAAAATAAATAATGTACGTAGGCAAAAACAACCATTCTGAAATAAAGCAGTGCTTGCCTGAATTTTTTATCAGTTCCAATGATCCCGATTTCAATGTTTTTCCCTGAGATTTGTCCTTCAAATCTGCAAAATTGAGGAAAACTGGTTTTAAGATTACAAAATTATAAAGGCAACCCAAGATCAACATTTTTCTCCTGACGTTCTTTCGATACATATAGAAGATCAATAGTCCTCAACGGCAACATTTAGGTGGAGGAAATCTACCCCTCTTTGAGAGTCAAAATAGCAGTATGCACAGCATCGTCAAGCTCCATATCATCAGTGTATCTACAAGGAATAAAATCAACCGAAATAATTTCAGTCTTTACAACAAGAACCGGAAAGTAAGAGAATGTCCAGCTCAATTCTGGAAAAGATAAAAATTTGTTTTATATGATCACATTCTATAAAATTGATATCCATACATAATTGGTCTAACGTATCATACATAAATTTTAGTTTAACTAGTGCTGAATTTTATAAGAACCGGATTCTTCTAAGCAAATACCTCTTCTCAAGAAATGTTTTCGCATTTGAGACATTTTTCCCCATTGCTGAGGCTTTCCATGAGAAATAGGAACCAGATGGATCCACCTACCAACAAGGAGCGAAACCATAAAGTCGAAAAGCATATAAACCATTGTATGTAACCTCTGCGGCTCTACCTGGTCATACAATGAAATGAACTAGTGTCTACGAGGAATACCTGATACAGTTGTGGACCATTGTCATCATATCCAGCAACCAGTAGAGATACACCAAAAGGTCTAACACCACTATAAAGAAAAAGAAAGATGCATAAAACTTACTATAAAAGCCAGAGGATTGCACAATTTAGCATTTCCACTTTTTGATCCAATTTAGATTGACACAAAACATAGCAGCGATACCTTAAAAGACATTTGAAAAAAAATAGGAATCTATAACTTTTCCATTTTTCTAAAAAATTCCATTATCAGGTTCCCCTATCAGCCCTGACATCATGCAAAAAGGCCAGAACAACACTTGAAAAAACTTAGTAATATACAAAAAGTTAAAAAAAAGTCTTCTCAGAGAAACTTAGTATTATACAAAAGTTTTAAGAAAAACTTTGTATTACAATCATGCTACTTCCACTTTGGCCGAATAAACAATGCTATTTTACAAACCAATAACTCAAATGGAGTAAAGCATAGCCTACTTTTGAAAAACGGGATAACTAACAAAGTCCCCAAACATTTGGACTCCTAAGAATCTCTGTCACAACTGTGAGAAAATAGAAGGGAGAAAAATAATGGGTTTTATAGACAAGGCCATAATTCTTACCCAGACTGAGTGAATTCCTGCATAACAGCAGCAGTTTCCCTTACAAGTTGTGTTACTGGAATTGCTTCCTGCAAACAAAAAACTTGCAGGAGTTAGAAACCCATTCAATATTGCCATATGGCCTTTCAGTTTGAACGAAGTTATTGGGACAAATGTGCAAAGGTAACCATACGGATAGGATTAGCTTTGATCGATCGAACAGACCAAGTCTACAATACCATGATTTGAACTGCCATAACTTCTTCCAAGATGCACATAGGTGAAAAATTAAGTAAACAAAATATCATTAAGAGCCATAATACCTTATACAACCTATGATACTGTTCTGCCTGCTTCCTACTTTTCCGAACCAAAACTCGAAAATCAGGGCCCATACCACTGAAAAACAGTATGAAGATTTATATATAAATTGTCAGAAAATAGATTCCTAAATTAGAAAGATTATGTATAGTTAGATAGGATTCTGTGAATATCTTTTTAGTATTTATAATCCCCAACTTTAAGGGATTATATCTTTCCGTAGAATTAATTACTTTCCTAGCCTAAGAGTTTCCTAAAGTTAAGATTATAGCTTGTATATATAACTATACCCCTTCTACAACAAATAAGAGAGAATTAATTGAGAATTACTCTAATTTTAATATGATATCAAAGCTTTTTTTAGCTCATTTCTGGGTCCTGTTGTTAACCTCTGTTTAACAGCCTCTTTTTATTCTTAATTCACCTCCTTAAGTGCGTAGTGTTACCCCAACAACAAAAAAATGATTGAAGTGATTGACACCAGCAGTTTTGAGACTATTCCAGGAGTCACAATGAGTGAAGGGAGTTACTCTAATCCAATGGGTGACTTACAAAATATACAAGCTACCTATAGATTGAATGGGAAGAACTACCTTAAATGGTCCCAATTAGTTCGTACATTCCTAAAGGGAAGAGGTAAATTAAGTCATCTTCTTGGGACTAGACCTAAGCAGGGAGATCCCTGGTTTGATGCTTGGGATGAACAGGATTCGTTAGCAATTTCCTAGTTATGGAATTCCATGGTGCCAGAGATTAGTGATACACGCATGCTCCTCAATACAATCCAAGAAATATGGGAGGTTGTAAAAAAAACTTATTCAAAGGTTAGAGATGCTACCAAGATCTATAAAATCAAGACCAAAATTTCATCCACCAAGCAGGGAAGCAGGTCAATCACAGAATACTCTAACCAACTACAGAACCCGTGGCAAGAGATGGATCACTACCAGTGTATCCAAATGAGATGCAATGAAGAGTTTGTTGGAAAAGATAGAATTTATGATTTTCTTGTTGGACTAAATATTGAATTCGATGCAGTAAGAGGCCAAATTCTTGGAAAGGAAGATATACCCTCACTAAATGAAGCAATTGCAATTATTTGTGCTAAGGAAGGAAGAAGAGGAGTTATGATTGAAAGCATTCAAGTGAAGAGTTCAGTCTTGGTAACTAGAGTTGTAACTAAAAGAAGAATTGGTTTGGAACAGCTGGTTACTGAAGATAATAGGCAACCAGAAGTAGCTAAAACAGCTAATAGGGATTCCCTGTGGTGATAAATGCTAGAAGCTTCATGGGAAGCCTCAAACAACAAATAAGAGTTTTTCAAAGACAGGAGGACCATCAAAAGGGCAGGGAAAAGCATATACAACAAAACAGATACTTGAAGACTCTCAAGAACTGTCTGTTGAGTTCAACAGAGAAGAAATTGAAAAACTGAAAAGCTGTTGGGATCTCTAGAAAAGCCTTCCTCAACAGGTAATTGTAGTATGGTTTTCTCAGGTATATCCTCTTCTCAGGACTCTAAAACCTCAGATTTACCTACCCAAAGCTCTTGGGTAATTGACTTAAGGGCTACAGACCACATTACAAATTCTTCACCCAGATTTATCACCTATACACTTTGTCCTAGCAATAAAAAGATAACAGTAGCAGATGGTACTATGATAACAATGGCTGATCAAGAGGATATTGTTATAACTGAAACTCTTACACTAAAACATGTCCTTCATAGACCTAAACTATTTACTAATCTTATTTCAATCCAGAAAATTACCAAGGACACTAACTCTAGTGTTCTCTTCCATCTCACTCAATGTAATTTTCAGGAACAAGAAACAAGGAGGATGATTGTACATGCTAAAGAAGTGAATGGCCTATGCTACCTTGACAATCCCGGTGGACAAGTCAATGCCTTGAGTTCCTCACCACTATCCCTTTTATCAGAATCTAAAATCAATAAAGATCAAGTATATCTTCATCACCTTCGCCTTGGTCACCTATCCTTTAAAGTTATAAAACTTATGTTTCCTTCTTTGTTCAAATCCTTAAATGTTGAAGAATTTCAGTGAGACATCTCTGAACTTGCAAAACATAAACACAATTATTTTCTAGTGAGCAATAAAAGAGCCTCCACTTCACCCTTATTCACAGTGATGTTTGGGGGCCATCCACCATTCGAAATATAGTCGAAGCCCGATGGTTTGTTTCCTTCATAGATGATTGTACCCAAGTGTCATGGATATCTCTTCTAAAACAAAAATCGAGTGTAAGCTCTACCTTTAAGACCTTTTATACCATGATTAAGACTCAATTTGGGGCAAACATAAAACGGTTTTGATAAGATAATGCCAAGGACTATTTCAACCAAATCCTATCACCCTATTTTCAAGAGAAAGGCATCATACATGATTTTCTTGTGTTAATACCCCTCACAGAACAGTGTGGCAGACATATAGAATGACCACATCCTTGCCATAACAAGAGCCCTTTTGTTTCAAAAACTAAAAAGTATTGCGAGGAATCTATGTTAACTGCCACCTATATGATAAACATACTACCAACTAAAGTCCTTGTGTTCCAAACCCCTATCCAAGTCCTAACCAGTTTCTTCACAAATTTCAATACTTCACATAACCTTAAGCCCAAAATATTTGTTGTGTTGCCTTTGTTTATATACACTCTCATAATAGGAGTAAGCTTGATCCAAGGGCATTGAAATATATCTTAGGGTACAAGTGCTATCATCCACCTACAAGGAAACATTTTGTTTATGCTGATGTCACCTTTGCAAAAGAAGAAAATTATTTTACCCGCCCTTACCTTCAGGGGGAGATTTCAATCAGGGAAGATACGGACAAAGATTGTTTCCTACTTCAGCCACTTCTTGACTTTCCTGTCTACCAGCCTGTTCAACAGCCTGTCCAACAACCTGATTCAGACCAATCTACCGCCTTACAATTTGATTCTAATACAGCTTAGCCAAAGACTCAGAACATTACTCGTCCTCTACTGGTCTATTCAAGGAGGAAGGCACCAGTGCAAGTTTAGTCATCCTCTTCGTCTCCTATACAACCCAAGGTAACTACTGAACCTATTTCTGATTAAAATACCATTGAAAATTCTGATTCTATTTCTGATCATAGGGATTTTGACTTTCCTATTACAATTAGAAAAGGAAAAAGAGCTTGCACCACAAAAAACCCTCTTTATCTATTTATGTCCTACAGGAACTTGTCTCACAACCAAAGGCCTTCCTTACTAGCCTAAACACCATTGTCATTCCTAAAACTGTATCCAAGGCATTAGAAAATGAGGATTGGAAGAATGTCATGCAAGTTGAGAAGGAAGCACTTGAGAAGAACAAGACACGAGACTTAGTATAACTACTAGAAGGGAAAAATTGAGGGGTGCAAATGGGTGTTTACAGTAAAGTACTGGTCAGATGGTTATTTAGAGAGGTACAAAGCAAGGTTGGTGGCCAATGGGTACTCTCAAACTTATGGGATAGACTACGTTGAGACATTTGCTCCTGTTGTAAAGATGGACACTGTGAGAATCCTATTGTCATTAGCTGCCAATCAAGGGTGGACATTACAGCAGTTTGACATTAAAAATGCCTTCTTGCATAGGGATCTTGAGGAGGAAGTGTACATGGACATCCCACCAAGATTTGGTCCAAGCACTAAGCAAGCTGTGTGCAGGTTAAAAAAGGCTCTATATGGGCTAAAGCAGTCCACAAGAGTGGTTTGAGAGATTTACCAAAGTGATGCTAAGGTTGGGCTATAGACAGAGTCAAAGTGATCATACCTTGTTTGTGAAAAATTCACCTTCAGGGGGAGTAACTACTTTATTGGTCTATATAGATGATATCATATTTACAGGGATGATTTGGAAGGAATTGATGATCTAAAGAAGTGTTTGGTGAAGGAGTTTGAAGTCAAAGAACTTGGACGATTATACTTCCTTGGTATTGAAGTGGCATATTCACAGCCAGGAATTTTCATATCTCAACAAAAATACACTCTAGACTTGATGACAGAAACTGGAAAAATAGGGTGCAGACTAGAAGAAACACCAATAGAAGTTAATCACAAGCTCGGAGATTCAACAGAAGATGCAATAGTTGACAGAAGCTCATATCAAAGGCTTGTGGGAAGACTCATTCACTTGTCACACACCAGACTAGGCATTGCATATGCAATTGGAGTTGTGAGTCAATTCATGCACAGTTCTAACGAATCACACCTAAGGGTTGTGACTCAAATTTTACAGTAATTGAATGGCACACCAAGCAAAGGAATTTTATTTAAAAAGGGAGGAAGTTTAACTTTGGAAGCATATACAGGGTCTATAGTTAATAGAAGATCAACCTCAGGGTAATGTACCTTTCTGGGAGGAAATCTAGTGATTTGGAGGAGCAAAAAGTAGAATATTGTGGTCAGATCCAGTGCAGAAGCTAAATATAGGGCTATAGCACTTGGGATTTGTGAATTATTGTGGTTGAAGATTATTTTGGAAAATTTGAAAATCAAATGGGACGGTCCAATGAAGTTCTGTGATAATAAATCAACAATCAACATTGTTTATAATCCAGTTCAACATGATAGGACAAAATATGAAGTGGATAGTGTGATGAATTGATATAGTTTAGGGAATTAGAGGAGAAGTCGTAGAAAAGAGTAGAATAGAGATATAGAAATAAGATTTCATTCAAAAATATGCTTTATTGTTCTTTACACAGTACTCGTTTTTATTTGTTTACAAGGTACCCTCAATTCTAACTAAATGCCAGGTGTAGATTCTAAAATAACCGTTTTGTTGTTATCTCAGATATTGGGCCACCAACTGGGCTTGCTGCTTTGCTCGTGGACTCAGCTCTCCTGATGGTAATTACCTCCTCGTGCTCCTCACATGCTCATTAATCAGGTAACTCTTTCCCCCAATTCACTATCAATCCCTAACCCTTGATTCCCATTTCCCCCAATTTCTTTGCGTCCTTCGTTTCTTCTCTCTTCTCTCCCGATCGTGACAATACCCACCGCTGGAGACGATCCTTGTCCCCAAGGATCAAAGTCTGGAAA